CCAAGTTAAATTATGATTTGCAATGATGTCTTGGCCCATGATTAAGTCCATTTTGTATGAGGTTGTAGCACACAAAACCCTTATTTTTCTGATTCTATAAACCACCCTAATGATGAGCTTGAAAAACCATTTTGTAATCTTGTTCATTTTAAATTGCTACTAACTGTTTTCCTTTGTTTCATGTACAAGATAAAAAATGGCAAGATCAAGAAGGAAGTTTGAAGATGCTTGAAGATGAAGACATTTCTTTATTTTGTAATAGAAATAAGAAAAATAGGAAAGAATTTATAGTTTATGTCTTTGAAAAATTTAATTGAATTTTGTAATGGTTTTGGAATTGTTTGAATAATGAACGTTGAGAATTTTGGAAATTTGAATAAATGTGAAAGAATTTGAAAGAATAATGTTATGTAAATTATAATGTTGAAAGAAATAAAAATGTAATATGTTTAAAAGAAGTTATAATGTTGAAAGAAATAAAATGTAATTTGTAATGTTTTTGAAAATAAAAACATAATATTTTGAAAAATAATAATGTAAGTTGTGACTTTGAAATAACAAGAAAAATGTGATATAGTTTATAAAAAGAATTGTAGATGTAAAATAAAATAAAAACGTAATATTTTGAAAAAGAAAAATAAATATGATGTGATTCATAATATTGAAAGAGGAATAAAAATGTAAAAAAAAATGATGTTTTTTTTGAAAAAAAATGATTTATAGTAATGGAAAATAAAGAATAAAATGTAAATGTAAATAAAATGTAATGCGTTTGAAAGAAAAAATGTAGAAGAAGAAATCAAGAATTTTATCTGGTGAAATGATAGACTTAGTATCCTTGCTCTGCCCACGACAAATAATCTTGGAATCTAAGCCATAGAAACTTTGAATAAGGCTCACATTTCTCAGAACAAAACAAAGTTGTCAGATCAATGCAATGTTTCCTTAGTGAGTGCTGAATGAAAACCAGAGTTTGAATCATCACGACCCCAATTCGTCCTGTCATGAATCAAAACTCTTAATTCGAGGTAAACTCAAATACAGGACTTAATATTGCGCAACCATTGAAACATGAACCTTGATCTCACCAGCCATCACACCTTTAAGAGTCAAAACCCTAGCTCAAAACTAAAAGACAGGAGAAACTTTGAGCACTTGCAAACTTGAACCTTTGATGAATCAATTGACATGTTTGGGAGGTCTGAAAAGTTTTGAACATTTGAGAAACCCTAGAAGAGAATTTTTAAAGGAAAAGGAGGGAAAATTATGGGGTACAACACTTCCCAAGTAGCGATTGAAGGCTCCATTCCATAAATCATATGGATGAGTGCCCATTCATCCATATCCTCACCCCAAATGAAACCCCAAATGAAAGTGTTTTTATCAATAAATCCACCGCCCCAAGCAATTTTAAGCGTATGCAATGCCAATGGCCCTCGTGTTCGACACAGCCGATCCTTGTAGAACCATACACCACATAACTAAATCATATAGAAAATAGAAACAATGTTATACACAATGAAACAAAGAAAAAACACTAAGACGGTACATGAACCAATGTAATGGTTATATTCATCCAGAGTTTAATATTTCACCATGAAACCTTCAACAAAGATGATATGGATTGGATATCGCACATTTGATTCATAGAAGGAGCCTCCATAACAGATATACATATTGATCAACTTTGTTATCTTCTTACAATTTTTCTAAAGATGATATATGTATTCCATTTTTGTATGATAGATGGTAAATAGAAACGCCTACACACGATACCCGATAACCGGCACACACCTTTTATCCATCACTTGCAGATAAAGAATCATCCAACAACGGTAACGACTCTGAATAAATAAAGATGGAAAAACCGAATTAGGAAATTTCAAAGAACAACAGACGCATCATTTATCTTGTAATCTTATCAACCAAAGCATATTTGAGTATAACCCAATAGTGCAATCAAATTTGCTTAAAAAGTTTTCAAGAAATACAAACTTATTGATAACACGCCAACCCATAAACTGCATAAACTTTGAACATTTATTTGATATATACTTCATTTTATGAAAAAGAAAAGGTAGAAAAATTATGTGCACTAACACACATGACGCGTCCTATAGAAGCCTTATGTGTTTATCTTCATTTTCAGAATGCAAACAACATACAAAACTTATATTGTAGTTGATTTCAAAGCAGAAAAATAAGAATGGTATAGGTAGATAATTTTATTGAAATCTAACCTGCACGAGCCCACCAAGATTATCTCTAAGATCCGATACAAAATATAAGGCTCACATATCTTGAAGTCGCTTCATTGCTGCAAAATTCAATTGATTATAGAGTCCTCACAAGCAAGCCAAAATAAAAAGATTATGCTATAAAAAGCTTACCAATGACTAAATCTTTTTGAGCCAATGCATTGAACTCCTTGAGGCGGACGTACCCAACATTAGCAGCACCACTGTCAGCCTGTTCCATCCGGTACGAGACAGGTGTGTGAGCCACAAATTGCAGTTGAACTTCTATTGATTCAACAAGTCCACAGTTTATATGCTTGTCCTAACAATAGTAATACCATCATTAAACTTGAACATTAAAAACCTAAAAATAAAGGCTATAGCAGGTGACAAACTAACTTGGAATTAAAATCCAAAACCTGAATAGTCACAGATGTTCCGTTAGGGCCTTGTAACAGGGAACCCAAAATTCTATTACCTTCATATATTTTTTAACCTTCAACCTAGAAAACCAAGAACATTAATCCATCTTCAACCTAGATAACTCGGAAAACCAAGAAATTTCTTCCACCTTCAACCCAACAATCCAAGAAAATCAAGAATATTCACTTACTCCTTCATCCATTACTCAGATTCTTCATAAACCCTTCCTTAGGAAACTCCAAAAATTCAAAACACCAGTTGAACCATTTGTTCTCTCTTAAATCCTTAACGAACCACCATAGCCGCCACCGACTTCCCCATTCTGATTGAGTCGTGAAACCCTTCCTTGATTTCACTTTGAACCATTCTTTTGATTTTTGTTTGCAAGAGATATGAGAGTGATTATTCAAAGAATAACTTGTAATAAGAAAGAGAGATGGATCATAAAGAGGGAAGAGGAAGTTGGATTGAAACAGTTGTAGAGTAATGAGGGAGGAGTTGGATGAAACAGTTTTGTAACTGTCGTTATCCATCCAGTGGAACGAAAATAGAATAAAATAGAGGATGATAGTATTTTGAACCAAAAACTATTTCCTATCTTCTAACGAAGCCACGTGTTGCCACCAGAGGAATTGAAGAGAAAAGTTCTACTTTTCTTATATTGTATATATCGAAGAAGTAATTAACTTTTTATGTTGAATGCGTAGTAGATGGGTTAGTCGTGCAATCTTTTTCCTTATAAATCATTTTTAAAAACTTAGAATATTACTCCCTCCATCTCAAAATAAGTGTCACATTTAAAAAAAATTGTCATAAAATATTTGTCTCTTAAGATTATCAATGCAGTTTTATTTATAATCTTTTAATTGTACCATCTAATAAACACTCTTAATTTATTATTTTCTCACTTAATTAATGATAATTTAAATAGACCAATAGTTAATTAGGTTAATATAGTAAAATTACTATTATCTCTCTTTCATTTATTACTTTTTTTTAATATGTGTGAAATGGTCCATTGCGATAAATAATATAGAACGAAGGTAGTATAAAAAGAGTTTATCAAGATTTTTGTGAACAATAAATCCATAACTCTCGCAAAGAATTCTCTAATTATAGAAAAACATGCATGTATTACTCCGGCCTAATTTATAAACAAAAATGACAAGTTTTACGCTTATTAAAAAAGATAATTAAGTATATTTAGTTTTCTTAATTTCATTTAAAAGAAATAACACAATTACACATATATTATTGATTAAATCGTCAACTCGTAATAATATTAAGTAATTAATATAAGAATAAGTTTAAGGAAAAAACTTACTTGTATTTTCTTAAGTGTGATTTATGTTTTCTTCCCAATGAAAATATGACAAGTGTATAATTTTCTCTTACACATACGTAAATTCTTCCTATTTTTACTCCTTAAAAGATATTTAGTTATATTTATGATATTTTTATTAAAAAAGATATGAATCACACCTATAGAATTGTATCTAAATATTCTCATAAATTTAAAATAAAAACATGAGTCTAAATATATTTACTTATACAAATCAAATACGTGACATCATCCTCAAATCACTTCAGAAGACTTTATAAAATTAAGAAACTTTTATAAAAAATACTAACGAATATCCTAAAAACATTCTTTAAGAGTTTAAAGTAATAAGATTTTATAAAAATACATATATTAAGTATATTAGAAATTAAAATAATTAACTTTTATAAATAATATTATTTATTTAATATCTTTAAAGAATATTCTCAAGACACTGGTTAGCATTTACATGACTCTTTACTTAAAATAACATTTTACAAGTAAAAATCATCCAAATTGGATTGGTGGAGGAGCAAAATTGTCGTCATCACAAAATTATCCTCCATTGAATATTTCTCTTACCAACAAATCTCCCTCTCCTCACCAATCATTTCTTTTTGTTTTCTCTATAAAACCTAACCCCACCCCTATTTCTTAGCTTCTTTGCATCATTATAACAAAATACCCCACCCTCCCACACAACCCTCCCCTATTCCCTTATCTTTTCCCTCAACCATTCATTTTTTTCCTTCTCCTTCCGCACAGAACCAAATGCAAAAGAATCCAATGTTTCCCGAATTCTCATGACACACCCCTCCCTCATGCGTCGAATTCGTCTTCTTCACTCTTTCTCCGTCGTTTTTCTCTACTGGTTCTACGTTTTCTCATGAACTTCCTCTCAATAATCTCTTTATTCGTAACCATTTATCATCGTATTCATCTTAAAAAATTAGATCTGAAATTCATAATTCCATAAGTTTTTATTTTATTTTATAATTCTGTTGTAAAATCCAATAAAAATGGCTTCGATTCATGGTGCGGCGAGTTCAGGATCTGACGGACCGATCGACGAGAGGAAGAGGAAGAGGATGATATCGAATCGCGAATCTGCCAGACGATCGCGGATGAGGAAGCAGAAGCAGTTGGAGGATCTGAGCGATGAAGCGAACATGTTACAAACCGAGAACAAGAGAATTGCAGAGGATATAAAATCCAAAGAAGAAGCCTTGGTTGAATCCGATGCCGCTAACGGCGTTCTCAGAGCGAGGACTATGGAGTTAACGGAACGGTTACGGTTTCTTAACTCGATTCTTGAAATCGCGGAAGAAGTTAGTGGATTGTCGGTTGAGATTCCGGAGATTCCGGATGCGATTCTTAATCCGTGGCGAGTTCATCATCCGGTTCAACGGGTTATGGCGTCTGCGGATGTGTTCTTGCATTGATGAACGAGCCTTTGTTATTTTACTTTTTAAGTTTTTTTTAGTTTAAGTTTTTTACCATTTTGTGTATAAATAATAATGGTGGAATTGTGATCCGTTATTGTTTTATTTGGTTGTTGATGTAAAATACAACCTACCTGATATTGTTTATTTTGTATAACATTTTTAATGTCATTGTTTGTCTTTTGTTTATAAAGATAATTGGGTAATTATTGTTAGATTTAATTGCAACTTTGATTCTCTATTTTATTTTTTAATTGACAAAATTATTGCAAAGTCTTTTAAATTATTTAATTATAATAAGTCTATTTTTTTAAAATATTTTTTTTGCTACATATGAATCCGTAACCATCATTAAATGATATAATAAAATTTTGAAAATTTTTTAATGTATAAAAATATTTTTAAACTAATTAAAATGCACACAAAATAAAGAAATTAAAGAAAAATAGTAAAATAGAAAATAAAATTCTTAAAAAATTATACGTGTGAAATTAGAAGAAATATTTTTAAGATTTTTTTCTTAATTTTTGGAAAAAAAACAGATTTAATATGAATTTTAAAAAATTAAAAATAAACTAAAATAAAATTAATAAAATAAAATAAAGCAGAAAAAAGATCAACCGTGCTGAGATTAATTAACATAAATTACTTACATATAGCGGAAAAAAATATAAATCACTAACTTATTACAATTAAATAAATTAAAGGATCTACATATAGCGGGAAAAAAACATAAATAACTGATTTATTACAACTAAATAACTTAAAGGACTTTGGGGTAATTTTGTCTTTTTTGTTTTTTTTTATTTTTTTATTTTAAAAATTACAAATTTGGTTTTTTTTTAATTTTGTATTGGATTTTAGTTCTATTTAATTTGAGACTTATTTTTAATGATATGACATTAAATTTGTTGACGCATCAATGCAAAATCATTTTAAAATTAATCAAATTATTAAATATATATGTTAATTTATAATTATCTTAAGAGAATGTTATCCGAAAAAATCATATTTTTTAAAGAAAAAATGTGATTTCAAATATGTATCTCCGAAAAATTTTATGTGTTTTTTTAAAAAATAAAATAATAACTTAGGAATAAAGGGTGGAAATATGGGAATTTTTTTTTGGAATAATTAGGTATTAAAAAAATCGCAAATAACTATGTTTCGGAGAAAATTACGCAAATAATCATGTTTCAGAAAATTCTTCAAGGGAGGAGTCATCCCACTTGGCGCCTACACCTTATTTTAAAGGGGAGGCGCCATCTCACTTGGCACCTAGGTGTTAAATGCTTGCCCTAAGCCAAGTGAGATGGTGCCTTAGTGCAATTGGGAGGCGATTTTTCGCGTTTTTTTATTTTAAATGCGGTGCGTTACGTATTCGATATAGGATCAACAAAATTGACTTTTTATTTACAAAATATGATTACTCACATAACGATTACATAAAAAAATACAGATTAATCAGTGATCCTCTGGAATCCGGTAATGACCTCCGGTTCCGCATCCCCGTCCTCGCCTTTCCCGTGCTGGGTTTCGTCGTGTTTCCTGTTGTGGCAGGGTCGATGGCCCAACGAAGTCAATGCGTTCCGGATCCATAAAATTAGTCAGATCTCCATATCTAAAAGATCCTTTTTGGTACAGTCGGTTGCCCATACCCTCAAAGTTTGGTCGTGTTGGTGGTGGGTGGGGTTCCATGGTTGGTTTGTAACACTGGCCGTCTGAGTACAGGGGGTAGAAAGGAAATGGATCTTGGGGTGTTTGGTATTGAGGATGTTGGGTGCTTTGGTGATGTTGTGGTTGATGGTAAGTTGGGTCGGTTGGTTCATAATCTTCGGATAATCCCAGATCAGGGCTAAGGTTAGATGTTGAGGGGCCCATATTGGGATATGCAGAAGACTGAAATTGTGTGTGGGGTATGCGGGTGTATTGGTATTGTGATTGAAATTGTGGTTGGGTGTGAGGCATATGGGGGTATTGGTACTGAGGTGGTGATTGTGGTTGGTTGTGGGGCATTTGGGTGTAATTGTATTGTGGTGGTGATTGTGGTTGGGTGTTTGTGGTTATGTTTCGTCGAGGGGGTTGGTGGGAGGTTGATGTGTGTTGAGTTTGTTGTTGGGGAAATGAAGGTTGTGTCCATTGTGTTCGTGGATCAACCAAATACCTTGGATGAAACACGTGCATTTCAGGGATACTAACCGATTTGTACCAAGATAAATATTGATCTGTGTGTCGCATATTACCATGGTTGAAGAAAACTGGGAATTGCAAGACATGTCGGTGACGCCTCTGCCACATCTTACACCATTCTGGAGCAAAATCTTTCCAGTTGGTAAGACCCCATTGGGCGTCGACCCTTTTAAGATGCCATGGGGACAAACAAGTCGGATCGCCGGGTATCTCTTGATGCATTCCAAACTACATCTTGACATGGTCGCGATGGTGCATCTCCATAACATTGAACCATATGGTTGCAGTCTTTGCGCTCCAAATTGTTGCATCCTCGGGGTTTGGTTCATGGTCCAAACCCAAATATGGTCTCCAGACAAACTGTGGATAAAATTAAATCAGGTTAATGAAAACGTAATAAATAAATAATTTAAAAGTAGAAAAGTTGAAAGGTATAACGTACATCATCCGGGCCAAGGTGATCCAATAGATTGTGGTATAGAGCGGCATTGAATCTTGGATTCTTGCCGTAATTCATACCCCTCACGCAATACCTAAAGGAATTGAAAAATATTTTATTTTTATCATATATTTGGTGAAGAGATGAATAGTAATAAATGATATAAGTTGATGACTTACTTTGTTGCGTATGGGAAAATGAATGTGTTGTTGTTGACGGGGTTTAGGGACTCCATCCTCCACCAACCCCAGGCTTGAAGTAAAAAAGCGCAGCCATAAAATGTACATTTTTCCTTAATTGCATTTTTACACAAGGAACTGTATAGATGAGTTAAAACAGCAGAACCCCAACTATACTTTCTAGTTTTTTCAAAGTCTCTAAGTAAATTTAAATACATAAAATTTACACTATTTCCCATACTTTCGAGAAATAAAAAGGTTCCAAATAGTATCATTATATAATTTCTAGCTTTTATCACCTTAGCTAGCTCGAAGGAATTTCCGTTCAATTCCAGAGTCGCATAATTATTTTTTAGCTCAGTAAGTAGTATACCCTGACCTCTTGCACGACCACCTTCAGCCATATCCCTGCCCAACAATTCTTCACACAGAGAATTAGGTTGTTGAACCGACCTGTTAACCGCTTTACCGTCGATATGGAGACCCAATAACATGTACACGTCCTCTAGTGTGACAATACATTCACCTATTGATAGATGAAATGTATGGGTCTCTTGTCTCCACCTTTCCAACATTGCAAGTATGAACTTTGAATCAATCGTGCAGTTGGGGATCTTTATAACGTTTCCGAAACTTACGTATTCGAGATAGGGTACGATCAATGGGTCGGGAGCAAGGTAGTTGTGTGACCGGATTCTGAATCTTTTAGTATCCTAAGTTAATAATGTAAAAAGTGTAAGAGTAGGTAAGATGAATAAAGCATTACTAGAAGTATGAAAAATGTATAAGTATAAAAGAAACTTACAAATGCTGCAATGTTGTCCCTTGTGCCTCTGTGAGAATCGCCCATTGTGAGAAGAGCTATTGTTGAAAATATCTGAGATTATGAAAGAGTTTGAAATTGTAAGAGATTATGAAAGATTTGTAGCAGAGAGTGAGACGATTGTGGATGCGATAGAAGTATGTGAGGCTTTGTATTTATAGGCAAAATTTTATCATAGAGTAAGTGAGGTGGTAGGTGGGTGCATGCATGCATGATAAGTTTCACTCTTGCAGTGTAGGTGCAGGCTAGGTGACAACCTTGGAGAAGGCATCTCTGCATGCATGTAACACGATTGGACGTGAAGGGAGGCGCCTTAGAGGTTGCAATATAGGTGCAGGCTAGGTGACAGCCTTGGAGAAGGAATCTCTGAATGCATGTAACACGATTGGACGTGAATGGAGGCGCCATTGGACTTGGCGAAAGAGTACAAAAATGAAAGGTGTCGCTATCTCTGTTGGCGAATAAGAGGTGGCATGGGTTGCAGTGTAGGCGTAGGCTAGGTGACAGCTTTGGAGAAGGCATCTATGAATGCATGTAACACGATTGGACGTGAAGGGAGGCGCCATTGGACTTGGCGAAAGAGTACAAAAATGAAAGGTGTCGCCATCCCTGTTGGCGAATAAGAGGTGGCATGGGTTGTAGTGTAGGCGCAGGCTAGGTGACAGCCTTGGAGAAGGAATCTCTGCATGCATGTAACAAGATTGGACGTGATGGGAGGTGCCTTAGAGGTTGCAGTGTAGGTGCAGGCTAGGTGACAGCCTTGGAGAAGGCATCCCTGAATGCATGTAACACGATTAGACGTGAAGGGAGGCGCCATTGGACTTGGACAAAGAGTACAAAAATGAAAGGTGTCGTTATCCATGTTGGCGAATAAGAGGTGGCATGGGTTGCAGTGTAGGCGCAGGCTAAGTGACAACATTGGAGATGGCATCTCTGCATGCATGTAACACGATTGGACGTGATGGGAGGCGCCTTAGAGGTTGCAGTGTAGGTGCAGGCTAGGTGACAGCCTTGGAGAGTGCTTACTGTTGGTTTATTCCAATTAAGTATAACCTATTTAATCTTACATTTATCAAAACACTCATACACTTAATCTCTCAAACACTAGAACATTCAAAAATTCCAGCAATTAACTCATAAACTTCAAACCTTCAAACAATCATACACAATGGCCTCTGCACCCCAATATGTGATCAGTGCACATTTCAACGGTGAAACATACATTTGTCCCACCTTCGGGTTTTTGTTTAGAGACACTAAGAACATCCAATTTTGTTTAAATAGGAAAGCCAATTTCTTGTACTTCAAAAAACGATTGGAGGCCAAACTTGGATGAGGTCCCGTGACACAAATATTTTATCAGAATCTG